GATAGTAGTAGTGGTAGTAGTAGTAGTAGTAGTAGTAGTAGTAGTAGTAGTAGTTTAGTAGTGGTAGTGGTAGTAGTAGTAGTAGTAGTAGTAGTAGTAGTAGTAGTAGTAGTAATAGTAGAGTAGTAGTAGTTAGTGGTAGTAGTAGTAGTATTAGTGGTAGTAGTAGTAGTAGTAGTAGTAGTAGTAGAGTATTAGTAGTAGTAGTAGTAGTATTAGTAGTAGTAGTAGTAGTAGTAGTAGTAGTCAGTAGTAGTGGTTGTAGTAGTAGGAGTAGCAGCAGTAATAGTAGTCATAATAATATAGAGCGAGTAGTTATAGTAGGAGTAACAGCAGCAGCAGTATTAGCAATATTAGTTACAGTGGTAGTACATAAAAACAAAAAGAAACAGACAACAGCTACAGGAGGGGGATCTCCGTCGCACATCTGAGTAGCCAACTTGGTCAAATGCTTACCCCAAAGTACGTCAAGCGCTTGAGCAGTACGTAGCCTCAGCGGAAGACTAAACCAGGAATCCGATGGAAAACAGGTCTTTTGTGACGGCCGTAGCCAGTCAAGTACGCCAATGCGCCGACGGAGTAACTGACGTCGTAGAGGAACTCTGAGCGCAAAATAATCGGATGGCGTGGCTGTTGGACGGAGATGTGAGCGAAATGGCACTGGGGAAAGTTGGAGGAAGACGGCAACTTCCTGATCTCGGTCACCTGGATTTCTTTTGGTCAGATCAAGTAGGTGCTCGGAGGGACAATCGATCTGACGAATGAATTCAGCGCAACTGGAGGAGGGAGGGAGAGTGAGAGAGGAGGGGGTGGTAGTACCATAAAACAACAAAATCATGTTATAATTGATTAAAAACACAACTCTCTTCCTTGCGATGAAATTATTTCTTATCTTTGAAGACGCAGTCTCTAAGCATAATAAAAATAACACTTGAAGTTATCTCTGTGCAACCCTTCCTTGTGCACGGAAGTATTCGCCGACAGCCGACTGGGATAGTATCCGGTCCGTCTTTCAAAATGCAGTTGGTTTCATTTGCGAAGCTTCCTTCTTAACAAAGTAACTTTTCGCAAGTCTTCATGTGCGATTTCTGCTGAGTTCGCATCACCGAAAAGGGATTCAAGCCTAGTCTATTGTGCGTTAAATAATTTGGCGAGAACTTCGCCCACATGTATAACACGATATGATTATTATGAGCTCGTTGCAAGGTTATACCTGCCTTTTGGCTTATTTGGGGTAGTTGTGAGATAAATCACACTGGAGTCCCTCTTTCTGGGGAACACTGCCCTATGAAAACCGACTGTCAAAACTCAACGTTATTCCCCCTTAATATAGGCAACTTCGAGGGCATTTCATGTTAACCTTCCAAAATATGGATGGCCCGGACTGTTGCTTTATTCCCGACGGTTTTTTCATTCAGGCTAACGCACCCCTTTTGCGTGGCTATCCCTTAAATTTGCGCTCAGGTAAAGCAAAGATGGATGGATGCAAGTTTTTCTTCGCTAAAAAGTGAGTTCAGCGTAGAACGCTCGGCCCGCGGATATCGCGCTTTCCACCTATGTGAATTCATGTAATTGCAAACTCGATGCACATCAGCCCAATTACATATATTTATACTACTCACAATGAGGAAGTAGCTGTTTGTATGTAATCTGTGATCAGTGACTGGCATAAAGATTTGTCCGTCGAGTGATCAATGAGGAGTTGAAATACCTGAGTTACAGGAACCTGCCTGCAAGTTGCAATTAAGAGAGTTAGATTTATTTAATATTACTTCAAGGCTACTAAAACTACGAAAACTAAGATGAACAGCAGAAGCCGATCGTTTATCTGCCCCTAAGCTACATGCATTGCTAGTACGCCTTGCCAACGAATCAAATGACAAACATTCATCACCGAAAGTTACCGTGCAGAAAAACCCATTTGATGTCGGTCTCCAGGAGACAGTTAGCGTTCAAGAATCCCTCTTTGGGTCAGATACAATGTCACTCTGGTCCTGAAATGTCGACAAGTAAGAGGCAATCAGTATTTACGAGCTCTATTCCTAGCGTGGGACAGTTTCAGCCAGAAGCCGAATGAGCGCAAAATAGATGTTTTTTTCATCAGAAGCCGACATAATCGACGTTTCTTTCAACTCAGGCATTCACGAAGGAAAGAAATCGTATGCATGACTAGGCTCCCTAACCTCGCTGTCTGAACTTTCCGTTTAGCAGACGCCACTCGTGGTTCATATAACCTTCAAAATACTGAAAAGATTGTGAACTCGCTGGTTACCTCTCGGACACAGTAGCTTTCATTTGTACGGGTGGTGCTGCATTCCACGGCTCCGTCTGGGTCAGTACTACAGAGGAATAAACGAAGGGTGTGGCCTCACTGTCGGACTTGGGCAATGCGGCTCCTGCCTCACAGTCGTGCACCTCAATCTGAACCGAAAATAAGTCTGCCATGCGGATGAGCAGCGGATCAACTTCCGGCCGCAACGGCCGTGCAGAGACGGAGAGGATTTCAAAAAGTAGCTCAGGCGGCGTCAAAGAGTCCAAGTCAGGCACTGACTTCGCACCATCACAGGGCCGCTGTAATTTGGAAATAAAAGTCGCAAAACGTTCTACTGAGATAAAGTCAGTAGCATCTGCATCTACTGCTAAACCGACTTACC